TGGCCTCTAATTCTGTCTCCTGATTGAAGGACTATGGGTTTTGACTTTTTGAATATGGGGAATGTTGCTTCTTTCACATAACCCACTTCTCCCTCACATAATATTCTTCACCTCCAATATTCCAATATTAGAAACGTGTACTGGTTAGCTATTACTGTATAACAGATTACCACAAAACTTTGAGGCTTCAAAGCAGCAATTATTATCTTGAACAATTTCTGTGGATCAGGAATCCAGGAGAGGATGGCTCAGGGTCTCTCATGAGGTTGTAGTCAAGATGTCAGCCAGGGCTTTGGTCATTTGGGACTGGAAATTCCACTTCCAAACTCACTCACATGGCTGTCAGCAGGTCTCTGTTCCTTGCTGCCCATTGATTGGAGGTCTTACTTTCTCACCACATGAAGCTCTCTCTCCACAGGCTGCCCGAGGGTCCTCATAACCTGGCAGCTGGCTTCCCCTAAAGCAACTGAGAGATAGATAGAGGTAGAAGTATGGGGGGGGGTCGGGGATGTAGAGAGAGACTGGGAGATTCAAACAGAAGCCATAGTTTTTTTAATAACCTGATTTCAGAAATGAGATCTCCTCACTTCTGCCATATTCTATTCATTAAAAGCTAGTCATTAAGTCCATCCCACACTTAAGGGGAGAGGAATTACGCCCCACCTCATAAAAACAGGAGTATCAAAGAATATGTGGACATACATTTAAAATTACATTATCCCATCAGAAAGACAATATAGTCGACTCTTGAACAACACAGGCTTGAACTGTGGTGGTCCACTTATATGTGGATTTTGTTTTTCATTTTGTAAACAGATGATGTAAACTTACAGTACTGAGAACTAGACACAATACTATAAATGTATTTTCTCTTTCTTATGATTTTCTTTTCTCTAGCTTACAGTAATACGTATAACATACAAAATATGTACATTATATGCTAATCAAGTATCTGTGTAATTGGTAAGGCTTCTGGTCAACAGTAGGCTTAAGTAGTTAAGATTTTGGGGAGGCAAACATTTTCAACTGCACAAGGGACTGGGGGTGGGGGGTCGGCTTCCGTAATCCCCACATTGTTCAAGGGTCAGCTGTATTCAATAAGATGATTCAAGATGTTGCCTTGGAATAATTTCAGATGCTAAGATCAAAGCTTAGTGAAGCATTGTCAGGTTATAGAGTCTAGGGCAAAATTTCAGTGGATTGGGAACCCAGAAATGCTGTTCTTTCTTCCCCGCTGCAAGTGCTTTGCGTTCTCCAGTAGGGGCATTTTGTCCTGCCTGCTCTGAGGGGATATTGCCTCTGATTTCCATCCCTTAGTCACTCCTTCCCTCTCAGTTGGTTTTTACTTTAAAGGGTGGGAGGTATCAGGACCAGAGGTGGAGCTGCTGTCAGAAAACGATGACCGTTCACCTCTATGTCTCTACCACCATCATGCTACCCATATCATAGCTCTGAGAGAGGAGAGGGTCCATGCACCTAATGGAGTAGTCAGACATGGCTTATATACCCAGGAGAATGCATAATCACTTAGGAAATATGCACCATCTGCTCTCAGGAGAAGTTTTTTGGAAGTTTTATTTTTAGAGGTTCATTTTGTAATGGATAGATACTAACCAATTCTCTCAGTTAGGAGAAACCAGTGGCCTAGATTTCTTAGAATAGCTATGGACTAAATAAACATTTTGGTTTAGGATCCTATTTGTTTCTGAGTGACTATTTTTCTTTTTACTAGAAGTAACTTTTGTTTGTAAAACTCAATCATATTCATGTTAAACATTTTAATTGATATAAAATGGTATAATGTAGAAGTTTAAAATACCATCTTCAATTCTACTCTCTAAGCATGACCGCTGTTAACGGGCTGATTGTGTATCTTTCCAGATCTATGTGCCTATGTACTTTTTATACAGGTTAATGGTGCCACAGTCTCGTTTAATGTTTGTGCTATTGATCCTATTCTTTCAATTTTAGGTTTCCTCATATGGTGGCTACCTCACCTACCAAATCAAGTCCTTTGGCCTACCTGGTGATATGGTTCTTCTGGAAAAGATGCCAGATGTGCAGCTCACTGTAGGTATCAGAACACAGCCCAAGTAGCAGGAAGTGACAGTTGCAGTTGGTGCTGATCCAATTTTAGGACATCTTGATTAGGGGCCTAAAAAATGTTTGGATTAAGTCATTTTCAATATTTTTGTAGAATCTAAAAGAGAAGATTAGAGCATGTAGCACCTCCTAAGGAGCCTCTGCCCCTGACCATCCCAGCCCCAAATGGTTTCTCTTTTCTTCTCTCCAGTGGACTTAACTGTATCTCACC